GATCCAACCAGACACGACAGCTCAGCAGTTACAGAAATTATTTCATTGGGACTGGAGCGAGTTGCATCCATTTGCCAGAGAAGAGGAGTGAGCATGCCGACAAAGGCAATCATGTTTGGAGATAACACAGTCAGGGAGCTAAAGAACCAATTTTGTATGGACTACATGGCACACATGGTGGCCAAACGCAAAATGAGACTCTTTGCATCATATTTCCTTCGCAAGAGTCATACCCATGACAAAATTGATCAGTTGTGGGGGGTGGTGGCCAGACGTATAGCAAATTGTGACTCCACCCTGCGCGCTGAAAGACACCCTCAAGATTGTCCGGCAGGAGCTAAGTCGCCCTGGTGTTCGTGCCTGGTTGGGAAGCACTACAGAGCTTCATGTGCAAAAGCTTGATGCCTGTCGAGAGTGGAAGAACTTTTGGAAACCTGTTGGAGTTACACTGTCTGGCGGCCTTCTTGAAGATGTCAGCTCGAACCATGTTTTCTCATGATGCAAAGAAAAGGCTTGGTGGGGCCAAAGCACACCTGGGTAGTTTAGAGTTGAACTTGGTTGTGTTTTTCTTTTGTGAGCTGAAGGGCTGCTTCAGTCAGTTATAAGTTATAATTGCAAAGTTGAGAGCTCAACTGTGGACTGATTGGTAGCCGATTTGCCTGAAATGCTCGCCAACAACGTGAACCAAGGGAGTTTCCGAGGAGGTCCATCATCTGGTGACATCATTTGCTTGATCAAGAAGCACATCTCTGATGGGAAGCTTTCACAGTCTCCACTACTGGTTTTGCCTGAAGCTCGAGCTGGACGAGTTGACTGGACCATTGCCACAAAGTATCTTGCATTTAAGTTTGACTAGTGAATTTCAAGACCACTTTGTGTTTTTTCTGCCGCTTCCCACATTTGCTTTGCAAACATTTAGTTTGTTGCCTGCGAAGGCATCCAAACAATCATTCTGACGCCTTCAAAGCTCAGTGTATGCAATTGGCGAACGCCATTCATGCTACATATGGGGGACCATATGCAAGATGTGTGGAATATCTCAAGGACCTTGCAATGAAGCTGTCTGACTTTTTGAAATGAATGTGGTTTGCAAATAAATGAAACACAATACTGTGCATGGTGTGTTTTGCATGTATGTTGTGTCAGAGATTTACATGTTGAACAAATGGAACAGCTGTGTGTCTGTGAATTCACAGACTACTGGTCAGCCCCAATCTGTTCTCCCAGAACTTGGCAGCCAACCGGTTCTGGAATGAAGCGTCGATTCCTAGATTGACTTGGCATGACGGGCCAGAGCAGCCCTTGATTGGGCAGCCAGAGTTTCACTTGCACCAATCCATTGTGGATTCGATTGCACCAGCAATGCCTTTGAAGGCAGCGTTCTCACGGAGGTGACATTGACTTTAGATTTCCTTTTTGGTATTCACAAAGGAGCCCATGATTACTATCAAGTTCAGCTTCAAGGAACTTTGTTCAAGATCCATGATGTCAAGAAACCTATCGAGAAAAATTACTCTTCTACAGTTCAATGTCAAAACCTGTCAAGAAACCATCCCAAAAACTGGGAATAGTGTGTGTCGCCATACAGCCATCTGGGTGAGAATAAACATGAAGACACAAAAAGGTGTGAAAGGGTGCGAATGACTCATTCACTAATGATTTCAGCACGCTTTGGAGGAGCAGTTTGTGTTTTTAACCAATCAACCAGCCGATCTGAGGTTTGGGCTTCTGAGCTATTGCTCTCACAGCTCAAGGGCCTGCAAAGGCCGAGAACTCAGGGTCCACCAAATATGATGCGCTGGTGAACCTCTGTTGGTTTTCAGTTCTGAATCCACTTTGGACTCTTAAGGAGGTTCATCAAAGCACTTTTGGTTTTGGAACACGATTCATCAATGCACCTTTGGGTCTTGGGCGGGATTCATCGATGCACCTTTGGGTCTTGGGAGGGGTTCATCGATGCACCTTTGGGTCTTGGGCGGGATTCATCAATGCACCTTTGGGTCTTGAACGGGGTTCATCAATGTCGTGGGGGTGTTTGGAGGCTCAGATTGGCATTCATCGATGTACTCCCGGGCTCCGAGTCGGTTGATGAATGAGTCATCGATGTACTCCCGGGCTCAGAGTGCATTGATGAATGAGACTTGTCTCATCAATGTCCCGGGGGTGTTTTGAGGCAGGAATTGGCATTCATCAATGTACTCCCGGGCTCCGAGTCGATTGATGAATGAGACTTTTCTTTGGCAGGCTGGCTGCCAGTGGTGCTACCACAGTTGTCAGGCTCTGTGGGGCATGTGTGAGACACATGTGAGACACATAGTGCAGTGATGAAACATCTGGATGTTCAACTCTTCATCAATGTACTCTGGGGCTCAGAGTGCATTGATTCTGTATATATGTTGAGTGCGACATTGATGAAGAAGTTCAAACCCAATGTTGAAGTCAATGTCGTAGGTTCAAACCATTGGTTTTCAATGGACTCTGGGGCTCAGAGTGCATTGATGAATGATTCAAAAATTCAACTTGTCATCAATGCACTTTTTACCACCACATTACATTTGGCTGAAAGTTGGGACAGGGATTGTCTTAGGCCTTGTGCGTGACAAATCGTCAAAAAGTCTGTGAAGCGCTTGCTAGAACCTTTCAACGCCGCCTCCACGCCGCATGTTGGAAGCGTCACGCCAGAAGCTCAAACCTGAGGAAGCAACGGATTGCAAGGAATCGGAAGTCAAAGAAGAGGCAGATTCCAAGGGGTCAACCACACCTTCTCCTGCCAAACGTTTGGCAAATGAAGAACATGGCTGGTGACACAACCTTGGTAAAGGACCCGTCACATCCCATGACACAATTCTTCAAATTGGAGTTTTGCATGTTATCAGTCCATGACAATCCAAAAATGGTTTGTTTTCAATGATATCCAGGACTTGATCAACCGCGTGTTGCTGTTTACTGCTGATGGTGGCAACATCGACTGCATCCACCCAGTACAAGAGGTGGTTGACCGTCTTTGTGGTGAGGAGAAGCTGACCCAATGCCAAGCCCCAGGCAATCGATGAATCCAATGCAGATGACACAGTGAAGCTGCCTCTCACTGCAATCCGGCCACTTGGCTTTTACTTTGCTGGTTGAATCAACAAGAAGCAAAAGCAATGTCATTAAAACTAACTGTGGAAAAATCACGGCCCAGGTTTGATGTACCGGAAGATGGACTACCCAGCATTGATGACTGGATTACCACATTCACTTCAATTCTACTGGATGGATTGGACCTGGGAAGGGAACCTTTGGATGTCAGTGTCAGGACCTCATCAGTGTCAACTCAGGCATGTTTAGGTTTCTGTGGCTAAACATATGTCTAAACAAAACATGACTTGATCTTCGCAGAGTTTTGTTTGTCAGAATCCGTTTTCTACAGCAAGCTTTCCCAGGTGGATTTCAAGCCATCAAGTTACTTGGCTAGAAGCAAAGCCTCAGAAAACGAGTCATACCAAATTTATGTTTGTCAAGAAATTCACTTATGCTTGAAAAACATGTTCAATACTTATGCTGTGTCAAGCAATTTCTATTCGCCGCTGATCTTTCAACTTCAATGGAAGTCATCATGTGACAAAATCATTTCATCATTGGGCTTGTTTTGGTGTAGTGCACTTTGCACTTGATTGCCCTTCAATTCCCGCGCCAACAAAGCTGGGACTGGGGGCAAAGGAAATGGCCCTGCAGGCAATGGGCACTTGGATCGTCAGGGATCAAAGGGACCTTCTCCGCTTCATGTACCAGTGCCAAAGGAAAAGGCGAGAACTATCAAGATTGGTTGAATGCCTGGAGGCAATGCCGGGCTGTCTCAGTCAACGTCACTGCGAACTCTCTGGAAGGTGCTTTGCTTGCAAAGTAGGGTCTCTTTGGCAGTGTTTCTGAAACTTTGGCACATGGTTTTCATCTTGGTGACATGCGCCAATGACTTCTTGTCCGACACCAGGTGAATTTGAGCAGAACCAGAGGACTGGAGAATGGCGCTGGGTCTGTTCAGAGACAGATGATTGCTGGGCGCGTTCTGGGGGTTAAGCTGGGCAGCGCAACCTTCAGGGCCACCTGGAGAGCGGACCAGCGGATCAGACAACCCAGCGGCCATAAGTCGAAGTTGGCGCTCCACACTCACACTGGTAGTCTAAACATAGAACCGCGAATGTTCCCTTTTTTGATGCAGGTGCCCTGGTGGGTATTGATGTCCTGAAGAAACTTTTGATATACACTAAACATCTAAACATAGAACCCGATCGCGCATAACCCAGGCCTCAGTTCTTCTTCTTTTGGCTTCAACCATACCTTCCCCATGTTCTGTACATATCTGATCAGCTTTGCGTTTCTGCTCTTGAAAAGCTCTGGCATGCGCCTGTTGTCTTTTTGTCTTCTTCACAAGAAGAGTGGAGAGACGCTGCTTCTGGTGCTCTTCTTTTCGAAGCGCGGAAATGTGGGTGGCCAAAAGGACTGTGACATCTTCAAAGGCAATCTCACAAGAGTGGAACATAGCTGGGGCATCACCAATCGCCTCTCCTATTTTTGCCTCAAAAAACTCGAGCAAAGTAGTGTCTGAAGGCTTTGTAGATCCATTCCCGTCCACGCTGATGAGCAACTTGAATAGCTTTTCAAAGGTCGAGAGTTGGGACATGGTAGTGGCAACTTTCTTATCTAACTCCTCAATTTTGTCATCCCATTCAGATTGAGAGCCCTTGCGTTCCACGTCCTTCTCTTGCAACTCTGCGCACAACTGGCCCACCTGCGTCCAGCGGGAAGACATTTATACCTTCACCTTTGGCCACTAAAGACATTTGCGCCACTACAACAAACAACCGCATTTTTTTACTGTGCATCCCATGTTCCCGTGCCATGATGTGGATACCCTGTAAGCAAAGTGACCCGCTTCAGCTGAGAAAAGCTTTGCTAAAAAAGAACACCTTCCTGATGACCCCGACATTGGCTAATCCACCCTTAAGGGCCCCAAGTTTTCCAGTGCTGAAGAAGGCAACGGGCGGAGGATTTTCCATCACGCCCTGCGCATTGTAGACGCTAACCTGAAAAAATGAGTAGTCGCGCTCATCCATGCCAATCGGACCATCTCGTGGGACAAGTAAGACACTGATCCAATCGTAGAGATTCACGGTCATGGGAACTTGCTCCAATACCTGTGAACAAACAACAGGGAGGCTTGAGCAACCCAAGAATGGAACAAACACAACCCCTAGGTGGGGTAAACATGGAACCTGCGCAGCAAAGCTGCGTTGGCACTTGAAGAGTGGAGTTGGAAGCCAACATGATTGCAGCAATAGGGCGTCGTCCAAAATGTTCAGAAAGTTTTGCCCAAAAGGCATCCGGGTCATGCGCAGCATTTCCTATAAACATGCCCCGTTCCTTCTTGTACATGCTGGTAGAGCCTCTCCCCAAGAACCCCAACCAGGTGTTTGAAGTGTCCTCAGCTTCATCGATTGCCATCTTGACAGCAAATCCTGGAATAATCAAGTCTGAACTCAGGAACATGTCCTTCTGCTTGCTCTTCTGGGTAGTCTTTTGAGCATCTGTCACAGCAAGGAAACCAGACAAAGGTCATTGCCACCAGTATCTTCACTGGACGCCGGAGCCGGAGGAATGCTTGCAACAGCGTTTTGCCCGCCGCCTTGCTTCCCAGAAACCCACGGGTTCCCTCATCGGTGTCTCGGCAAAGTTCTCCTGGGTGGGTGCGGCAATCTTGGGCACCTCTGGAATTTTCTCCTTCTTATCGGGAATTTCCTCCTTCACTCCACTAGCTGAAGCACTTGCGCAACTAGCTGAAGCAGCTAGGCCAGCAAGATCGTCTGCATGTTCTTCTTGCAAAACCTTCAAACTGTCTGCTAGCCCTTCCCGGCCTTAGTTGCAGTTTCTCCCCGCAGGGCCCAATCCTTGCTTGGAGGTCAACTGTTCCCAAATCATCCTCTCTGGCACAGAGGCTTGCCACTCCATATCTTCCTAGTAGCCAATACTCTTCTCCTCAGGGACGACACCCATGTTCCCCGACTTAATTAATCCAGTTGCGCAATATACTTCAATAGGTTCTATGTTAATCGGTGGCTGAACCATGTTTTGTCTGTTTGCGCCTCCGCTTCTGCCTGCTCTGGTGTTGGTGGCGGAAGCGAGTCCTCTCCGTCCAGCAGGTTGATCTCCTACACGTCCAAACCCCGGGCAGGAGTTATGCGCAGTGTGGTGTTTTTGCTACCGTCTTCATTTCCACAGGATCTCACTATTCATTACCATATTGAATATTGTTTGACACTCCCTGCCTGGCTCATGAACTTGTAGTGGGGTGCTCTGTACCCAGCTGGGTCCACGCTGATGGTTTGCCACAGCCACACACCTTGTTGGTGACCTCCCCGGCTCAAGAATTTGAGCGGCTAGTGCACCTTGTCGTACAACCCCAGTCACAATGCAGATAGTCAGGTTCAGCTTTGAAGAGAGCCATACCTGGTGCCATGTTTGTTCACCACTTGAGACTTATATTGGTTCAGTCAGAAAGAAACAAATGAATTGCCGGCTTCTTGGGGATATCAGCTTGGGACAAGTTCCCACTATTCAGACTATTTAGATGGAGAAACATAAAGCAGGGTCTTTAACGTAGCACACTTGGTGCAAGTCTAGGCGCAAAATCATCGCGTTGAGCCATGTGAGCGTGCATCATCCGGTTTTTGGTCTCAAGTGGCATGTGAGCCAGTTTGCACGCCCAATCGCAAACAAGATCCTTCTCTTGCTTAGCTTCACTAGTCACAATGCACAACCCCTGCTCAGTCCGCTGTCTCGAGTACCAAGCCAAAAGCTGCGCTTTTGATGCTGCTGCTGCAAGCCACACAGCGCTCCACATACAACGGCCGTCGGGGGCCACACTGAGAAACAGCAGGGTTGAAGAACCCCTGGAGGAAGGTCTTGTTCAGGGAAGAGTTCTGCTGAGCAGAGTGCAGCGAGAATAACCACTGCCTTAGGAGGTATGCTAAACATTGCATTTGCAAAACACCTGTGGGTTATCACTGTGTCATTTCCACACCAACATATGAGATGCAGTCCAGATACCGCGTTTGCCACATGTTGTGTGTTTCCACACCTCTCGTGTGGGTTTGGCCACGCCCATACAGGAAGCATCTCCTCAATGCAGAATTGGAAACAACATGTCCTCATCAACTAAAATGGACCTCAAGACTCAAGCCGTTGGTTTGTGAAAGAAAATTCTCACACTCCATCTCAAATGATTTTTGTGTAGTACTATTCCCGCCTCCGTGGGGTGCCATGTTTTCTCTACCCTGAAATTGAGCCAGGGTTCCTGGCCGTATATTTGTGCAATTTCAGGAGTAACTGCAAAGCCCAAGCTTGCAAGCTCTCCACAGAGGAGAGCCAGCGCTCTTTGGACCGGCTCCACAGCATGTCTATGGTTGCGTAGGTGGAAATTGTCCTGCAGCTGGCATGGGAGGCAAACAGTACTGTATGGCAGTGCATTTCAAGGGCCATAACCCTGTTCCAACAAGTATAGCATCATAAAGTATCATATGTTTGTTCAACACAATCCTTGCGTTCCGTTCGATGTGGCCTTCATATAGGCAGCTGATTGTTCCTTTACAGCCATGCGCAATGATTGCGGCCACTTGCTGTCCTGCAGTGGTTGCGCGCAAAAAAATGGTTTAGCATAACGCCCCTGAATGGCCATATTTAAAGGGCAGCAACAGTCCTTTCTTAACATATAGGGCCCTGTTGCCATCAGCTTAGTGTACCCCACAACAACACTGCTGTGGTCGGTCCTTGTCGAGTTTGGCCCCTGCGGCTTCAAGATTTTGTTTCTCCTTGTTGGTCAACATGTTCCTTGGAAAGATATGCCCAAAATTGATTTCATTATGAAGAGATTTGTACACAACATAGCACTCCCTGAAGAAGTGAAGCAGCTCAGCAACTCCCAGAAACAAACTCTCAGCAATGACAGCCGGATACTGAATTCTCCGTCTTTGCTGCTACCGAGGCTCTCGAACTCCGGGTCATATTTGCGTTCGCGGGCCACGCATCTTTTTCGCTCCTCTTCCAACCTGAAGAGAGTATGGTTCCCGTCGGTAGTCAGTCAAACACGAACACACTAACGGTGTGAAGGGGGTCTGTTTTGCACCTTTGTGACTTTCCTTGGGCCACATGTAAATGTAAATCTGATGTTGCTGCAGTGCCATGTTCAAATTTACTGCTTGCTTCTTTAAAGTGCGGGGAAGAAGCATGCATGCCCGCATCCTCAAGCCAAAACAGGTTTTCCAAGGAAAGCTGGCGGCTTCGGAGGGCTTCACAAAAAAGTCATAAGCTTGTTGTAGATCGCAAAGCCAGTTGCCAGAGTCACGCCGCAACGCCAAAGTCCTTGGATACGAGGTTGGAAAAGTCCAACAGACGTGTTGGTTCTGGTCGCGTGCTATGTTTGACACACGTCATATGTACAGATACAAAACTTTTAAGCAAACAGACTTGCAAAGCATCTCACAAGTATCTGTGTTTGGCATGACCTGTTGAAAATGCATCCAAAAGGATGCTTGTTGCAATTCCGTCCTGTACTGTAACATCCTGTTACAAACATCTCCCAACCCACAGGAGGCCAAGCAGCCACCCACGGAAACGTCGCGCACAAGCAGACCCAACATCTTCAGTGGATATGAAAATGACCTTTCCAAAGCCAGGGCTTTGAAACCTGAGTATCTGGAGAGAGGGTGTGGGTGAAGAGGTGCCTTGAAGGGCGCACTACCAATACTTGCCAACTATCTTCCAGATCGAACATTCTGCATTTCTTGCCAGACTTGTGATCTTTGTGGACGCACAAATGAACATTCCTTGGTGAGCATGCCCACCACATGCAACCACCACATGTAAAGAAATTGAATTTGGTAACTGTCAGTTTCTTGGAAAAACTGAAAGGTCTTCCAGCGGAGAGAAGCACCCTATATAATGCTGATATGTGCAAAGGCGCCTCCAATACGCCATTGCGTATGGACGTCCACTGCCACGATCTTGCTTTTGGGACCCAGCTTGGCTGTCATCAGTGCAAGTGACCCCTGCAAAGTCTTTGGCCAGTGGTTGCAAAACATGGCACTGAACAAGTCTCTCTTTGAGTTCCTTCCCAAGCAATTTGGAATTCCAAATTGCGCCTCTTCAGCGCCAAGAGAAAACACACTGTACATGAGATCACCTAAGAAGGCCACTAAACATTTTGGCTGCAATAGGTTTAACATAGAACGTGACCTACATGAACAACTCTTCCCCGTTGAATGTAAAATTGATGCCTTTTTTATATTGATGCCATTTTAACTAATATTGATTGATTTCCTTTTAACTTGGGGGGTAGGGAGGGTATTACTAATCGAGAGTCAACATTATGGATAATACCAAGGTTCTAGATCAGCAGCGAGAGGAATGCTGCAAGACTGGCGCTTAGAACCTGAATGTGTGGACTCACCAGGATGCCTGAGGCACGGTGCGGTGCTGCTCCAGTTGACAATTCACATGGCCATGTCCATGTTCAATGCTTTTTCTATGGCAACGCTAGAAGCCAAGGCGCATCTCCAAAAATGTGATGTCCCTTGAAAAAAAATCCCGCAGAAGGCCTTTTTGCACATCAACGGAAGACTCCCACGCCGATTCCTGGGTGAGGGTGGTGAGAAGACCGGCGCAAAGCGCTACGTACCTAACATGGCACCTACCACAAAGACTTACAGGAAGAATGGTTCCCTTTACTTGCTAGGAGATGGATTGTGAAAATCCAAGTTAGTTCTCCATGACAAGGATCAAGCTTGAAGGACACCCCCAAGTTGTTGACCTCCAGGATCTTGGCAGCCCGGCCAGATGCATCAAGCCTGGGAGAAGAAAACTGAGCTAAGGCAAGTGAACAGAAGACAGAAGGCATACAGTAACTTTCCCGCTGCAGTGTATTTTTCCCAGCTCGGACCAAGGCTCCGCTTAGCAGGATGGGCCGGCTTGACCCCAGAGACTTCTACAAATTCATGGGCTCTCTGAGGGTCCTAGCAGGGTAAGGCTGATGCCCCTATAAAGCCCATTTATCATAGCACTTGGGCACAGTTTCCACCGTTTTCATAAACAGCCACAAAATAAGCTCGTCACACATTCCAAAACATTCCGACTGCAATTGTTCAGCGACAATTTCCTTCTTGCACCATGAAGCTGCTTCAGTCACCGTTTGGCAGTCGAGCTTGGTCAAATCTGCAGCTTTGCGATCTGTAGGCCAGCCATTGATGTAGGGCTGGCCATTTGGCAAATGTTGAAGGACAGGCCCAACCTTTCGAGACCTTTTTGCTGAGCTGCATTCCTCAGCTGCACTAGATACGCTTGGCATATTGTTTCAAGTTTCAGTGACGCGTGGACACCTGCTCAACAAACATGGAAGCTTCTCATGGAAGCGCGCGCATTCTTGCGCAAAAACTATTCAAACACATGCATCCTCTTGGCTACAGACTGTCTTGTACACTGCATCCCCAAGCCAATGAGAAAAGAAGACACAATAGTGGTTGAGCCCAGGGTCTGGCCTGGAGGGTAATGCAGGAGCTTTGGGCCCCAGCGTGAAAACAATTGGTGCTGGCAGGGGCGGCTCGCCACCAAGCTTGACCCGTTCCTGCGCAAAATTGAAAGGCGCTGGAGGGGTTGACTGGGGAACACAACCTCCAAACCTTTCCGGAAAGAATCACAAACATAGCACTCCATCGGCTGTTTTTGTTGAAGGGGTCAGTAGTCCGTCACAAAAA